GCAAATAAGGATGGGGAAAGTAAGGAGAATGAAGGGAAATAAGGATGGGGAAAGTAAGGAGAATGAAGGGAAATAAGGATGGGGAAAGTAAGGAGAATGAAGGGAAATAAGGATGGGGAAAGTAAGGAGAATGAAGGGAAATAAGGAAGGGGATATAGCATGGTCTGAGACAAATCTGACTTTAGATGGAGAAACTGATCTTGAAACACCTTAAGCAACAATCTAGTGGGACACCTGAGCTTTGGCGGCTGCCCCAAAACCCCCCGTTCCCATGAATAAACAATCAAGGGAACCAGGATAGGGTTTTTGTGTCTGTCTACGTATTGAATGAATAAAACAAGCTCCATCTCTGCCAGGAACTGCCACTTAAGCCTACTCCAAATAGCGCCGAGAAGAATTAGTATGAAAAGGGAAGCAGGGAAATTGGGAGTGTGAGACAGGACAATGTGATCAACTTCAGCACTTTAATCTCAACTACAGTGGAGGCAACTGTACGTGAAAGAGGCCATTACCTGCATTGACCCTGGAAAGTGACAGTGCGGCTCCAACAGGCCCCAGTGGCTTGCGGAGTAAAGCATCCCCACCACCCCAGAGATCATTCCCCAAGTCCTTATTCCCAACTAACAATGTATTCTTGGGATTCACTCCTAAAATGAAAGAGCAAATCAAATTACTACTGCTCTATTACATAGCAGAACATAGGCAATCAAAAAGCAAGAGTGTTTAGCCAACATGCAACAAGCTACACCAAGCACACCAGACAGCTTTTACAGTGGTTCCTAGTTCAGATCATCAGAAGCGCAGGTACCCTTGGTATAATAATTACATAATCAGATGTTCAGAAATGCTTGATATGGAATTAAACAGAACAAATCACAATTAAACAATTGATTTTGGATGAAGAAGCTGATGCTGGGATGCCTCACAAATGCTTCCATATACACTGAGATTGGTGACGTTCATTGTGTGTTGAGGGGGAACTGCAGTTGACGCTAAAATCATTAATTGATCTGATGCTTCAGAAGATGACACTGAAGGCCTAACACACTTACCAGGGAGATACCGTGACTGCCTTAGGTAGTGCTGTTTGGCGGATGAAGAGGTGGATGTCTCGGAGTCAATCCGCTTCAGAGCGCTGCTGCTTGGCAACTTGATGACAGCACTGTAGGAATTCAAGGGTTTTACCTCCACGGGCCTGATAAGCAATGAGAAGCATCACAAGTATTAAATGAGACCTTACAGCAACCGACAGACAGTTAATCAAACTGAACCTTCCAGGAAGTTGACACTTGCCGGGTTTGCTCCTTGACTGAAGAGATACTGGGCTTTTTTGAGTAGGACACGCCCATGTCAGCATCATCAAAGTCCTCCCAGCTGTCAGCTGCTTTCAGAATGCTCTGACCCCACCGCCTGCGGCCGCTCTTCATCCCCATCACGCTCTTCTCGCTGCCTGCCGGAGCTGCTTTCTGTCATTAGAAACACGGTCCTCATCAGAGCAGTGACAACCCCCATTAAGTGCTGTGTGTGTCACTGTAGAGTGTCAGCTCCATAGAGCTGTGTGAGGCGCCAGGAGTCAGCGCTGCCTGAGGCGCCAGGAGTCAGCGCTGCCTGAGGCGCCAGGAGTCAGCGCTGCNTGAGGCGCCAGGAGTCAGCGCTGCCTGAGGCGCCAGGAGTCAGCGCTGCCTGAGGCGCCAGGAGTCAGCGCTGCGTGATCCTCACCGCTGTAGTGTAGCTGCTGCCGAGGCTGAGTGGCACAGTTTTCTTTGTTTCGCTGCCTCCATGGCACTGATCCTGGGTGGAGTTTTGCTGGGGCACAGGAATCTGCTGCAGAGGCTGGAGGCGGAGCCTACTCTGGTCCAAGCCTGGAACCTTCTGCGGCTGCTCTGGGGCCTCCAGGGGCACCGTCCTCACCTGGGGCTTGTGCTGGTCTTGATACTGGCTGGGTGGACCTAGAACCTGCCCCACTTGGAAGTAGGGGTACTTCAGAGCCTGTAACCAAGGGATACAGATGGCTTTAAGAATAAAGAATGTTGCCTTACGGTTTAGAAAAACAAACCAACACCTGCCAAACCAACAGCCTGTCCATTTCTATTTCTAAATTTTTTTCTCACATTATGGTGCATAAAGTTACCCTTACCCTGTCAATGACAAATGTAATCTGTGATGTGACCCATTCTGTGTAGGGGGTGGGGCCAGTTAGCAGGCCCAGTGGGCGGGGCTCCAGGCCGTACCTGCATGGCCGTGGGCCTCTTCTTGGGGTCCCACTGCAGCATGTCCTTCATAAGGGATATGGCCTCGCTGCTGGCATTGGGGATGAGCGTTTTCAGGTTGGTCGGGACACACTGTGGGAATCTGAAACTCATCGCCGAGGCCAGATGATGGCCTTCTGGCCAGTCGCTCTGTAGCCGAGAAATGAAAGGTGTCAGACATAATGACAGATGTACAGCAGCTCACACGCAGGGGGCCTGCACTAGGTCTTTGATGTTGTGACTAATTCTTGAGTCATTCATTAAGGTTGTGACCCTCCTGAAGAGTACACTAAGATACAGATTGGTGCATACTTGATCGTACTTGTGTTCTGGTGTTCCCGTTTTATGTCATCTTCCATCACCAAAGACCAGTTCCAATAGTCAAAAACAGAAGTATGGAAGGCAGTAAAATTTCACAGATGCATTGGTTGGATCCTTGCCAAGAGAGACGTATCCCAGAATTCAGTGCACCAAATGAACAAACAACAAAGTTCATTCTTATAAAGCAAGTTGGCAAGACCGGTCTTAACAAGACCACAAGTACGATCTTTGCATTCTTGGTACTGAGAAACACGCAGCAGGAGAGGACATTAGCTACTAAACAGCCTATGGGGCCTCTGAGGTCTGCCAGCTGCCCACCTTCTTCACTGTGCCAAGGACCTGGCAGATCTTGAAGATCTCGTCCACCTCGCTGTTGCCGGGGAAGAGCGGCCGCAAGGTGTAGAGCTCGGCCATGATGCAGCCCACGGCCCACACATCGATGGGGGAGTTATAGGATGGCGACCTGAGCAACACTTCTGGAGCTCGGTACCTGTAGAGCCCAGTGCATCAGAAGGCCTGCAGAGATAGCTGACCCCGACGCAGAGATAGCCGACCCCAGTGCAGATACTCCCTAAGTATTCATTCGTCATTTTTATTATTATTAACATAACACTACTTGACTGAGCATAAACACTTAGTAATAACTCAGTTATTACTGAAGTACCAATCATGAACAAAAATATTTGCTACTTGAGATAACAGATAAATCATGATTCATTAATGATAAACACATATGAGATCAGCATTTCACTTGTGTTATTCATTACTTGTTCCTTCAGTGGTTGCTTCAGAAGTTCAAAGGTTTATAGAATTGTTTAATAGATATAGCAACAAATATAGTAACTGCTTGAGATAATACGTGTCACGGTTCATTAATGATGAATTAACATGAAATGAATATGTAACTAAGGCTTAGTTTGTGGTTAATTAATATGTAAGTAATAACAGCATAATATTCTTTGTGCCATCAAGTGGCACCATTATTAATTACTCATTTCATTCTACATATCATGTTGATTTTCTGTGATGCAATGTATCATTTTAGCTGCTATTTCATTATGCTGCTTGTTTTAATTTTACAGGTATGTCATTTAAAAATGACATTTAAAAACACACAGTGCTCTTCCTGAGTAACCAATCACGATACATGCACTTTGTGGGATTATATGTGCTCTGGCAGGGTATCTGTGTTAAACTTCTATAGGAATCTCACCATCTCGTGGACACGTAGTCTGTGTACGGAGGCCGAGAGCGGATCTCCCTCGCTAACCCAAAATCCGCTATCTTCACCAGCTCAGGGCCCATGCAGAGCAGGTTCTCGGGCTTCATGTCACGGTGGAAAAAGCCTGGCCGGTCATGGGAAGATAAGGCAGCCTGCTAAAGCACGCTAAAACAGAACCATCACACGATATTCATAATGCCAAGAGCCCACAAGAGCAACAACAAGAGCATATTTACAGAGTATCAGGGTGAAAAGGCAAGCAGAAAAGCAGCCGGAGCAGGAGTCTTACCATGCTTATGCACAAATGCTAAACCAGAGAGCACCTGGAACGTTACGTTCCGAATTTCATTCTCAGAGAACATCTTATTTTCCCTGGCAGCAGACAGATGGAGGAGCAGCAAAGATACATAAAGAGAAGATGAGAAAAATCAGCTCAGAGATCAAGCCATTTGTCGTGAGGGCTTGCGATACCTTGTTGGCACCTGATTCACCCTGCTCTCGCTCTGCTAGAACACTAACGGTCTTGCTGTTGTCCCACAGGCCTCAAACGTTTCCATTCTTACAGAGACCTAGAATCTGATAAATTTTGGAACTCCCAGAACATAACTTCCTTGCCCTTGATGTGTTCCCATCAGGCAGACCCAGACTCTCCAGGAAAAATGCAGCCTGCCACTATTATTTGTAGGACTTGTATGTGGATTTGTGTTTGGTTCTGATGCCAACCGGAACCCCAAGCCCTGTTATCTCTCAGAGGAACAAGAAAAACGGAGTTATCTGCAGCTGCTTTAAAACCAAAGTGTAGGATTCGCTGGAAAGTAAACAAAGATGCCAGCAGAAGCGCATCGCCTAAGGTCACAAGCACATCTAATCCTACTGCGGATAAGCACAAATAAACAGCGACACCGTGAAGTATTAATGAGCTGCTGAGCCCCGTCTTCTTGTTCCTCAGATGAGAGTTCTTGGATTAGAGACCTACCATGTTTATGAATAAATGACAGCCCCTGTAATATCTGATACACTATGTTTCTGATGACTGACTCTGGGAACAACTTGTTTCTGTAAACAGAGAGTCAATAGACCAGAACTGTCAAACTGCTGGATTCAGAATCATTAAATGTGTTCATTACATAAAATTACATGGAAGGCTTCAAAGTCACCACACACATCAGGACAGGAGTATTTATTTATTTATTTATTTATTTATTTTAAATAAGAAGTGTTTGTAAAGTCAATCCAGGAACAAACAAAAGCATGACTGTGACATTAGCTGCTGTGATTGTTATATGAAGATTCCAAGCAGAGATGTAGGCTTACCTGTCCTTCATAAGCTGATAGAGGTTCTCTTTCATGTACTCAAACACAAAGTACAAGTGGTCATTCTCCCGAATGACCTCCTTTAATTTCACAATGTTGGCATGACTAAGTTTCTTGAGAGACTGCGAACAAATTCAGTTGTTTTCAGACTTGTGCGGCAAATCATACAGACCAATTAAATACATTCTTGGTAGCAGAATTAAAACCGTTATCAATCTGGATTTACATGTTTAAAGGATCATTATACTTGGCTAATTATAAGAGAAGGCTGGGAAGACTTAGGTCTTTACAGGATAATTTTCACTCACACCTCTGACAGGATAATTGCAGGACTAAATCCGTGGCCAGTCAATTCGCGGTTTGATGTGCAGACCAGATGCCGCAGATGAAACTCTTACCTTGACTTCTCTCAGGTTTATGCACTCTTCCCACGAGTAAAACTTCCTCTTCATTCTAAGGGAAGTTGACCACATAAATCAGCATGAAATTCCTGAAAAATCCAAGAGGGTCCAGCTGCAGACGCCTGTAGAGTGGAGCTCCACCGGAAATACGTCACCTCCACAGGAAACACGTGATCTTTAAGGACGTAAAGTGGAGCTCCGGTTAGGGTTAGGGTTAGGGTTAAGGTTAAGGTTAGGGTTTATTCGCTGTGACACAGAGTTGAGGTGATGTATTTCCGGTGGATCTCCACTCTACAGGCATCTGCAGCTGGACCCTTCTCGAAAAATCCTTCAGCAGGGGAGTGCCATAAAGGGGAGGGGGGGGCAGGGGGAGTTAGGATGATTCCAAGGGGTCGTAAAAATTTTCACACATAATTAGGCTGGTCTGGGTTGAGGGCCCAAAAAATCTCCAGCAGTGTCCCTGTCCATCCGTGATGTTTCTGCTAAATCTTGGTGAACCACATCGAGGCCGGTATGTTTTATTTGAATCACACAATACACAAACAGATATGCAAATACGCAGTGGAGATAAATACGACGCAGTGTGTTTCGGTTACGATTAAGCGCACAGGCACTATTTATATCATCAATTCTTTATTACCGCCCCTATCCTTTAGGCACCGCCGTGTCTTGTTCATGTTTTCATTTTAAGTGCAATTTTAAAGCAGCTTTAATATTTAAAGGTCAGTGATAAGTTTGCATCCGTGCATGTGCCATCAATATTTAGGGACATTTGCTTGTGACGTTTAATAATCTAGACAAACGGATCAGAAAGGAGGATCTGATAACCGAAGTCATTAATAAAAGATGGACAACACTGATGCTGCCAGTGTTAGGGATGTGGAAGGCACAACAACACGCAGGGTAAATTATTGAAAAGCAAATGCGATGAGTACTAAGTCAATAGCACATAAATGACCATAAATGGCAAGTGTATATTTATGGTTTAATAACTGCTACATCCTTAAGTTTCCATCAAAATAGCAAGAAAAGAATCACAGCTTTGTAAAATCACAGTTTTGTATTTTGTTTGGTAAATGTAAGGAGGTGCTGGCTGAGGGAGGAGTGAGAACAGAAACGCAGATGGACAGATGGCAGCGCTGACAGCGACTGTCACCCTCTGTCACACGGCACACTGTCACCGTCACGCAGCGCCCCTGGATCCGTGTCCCCTTAAATCTGCCCTCACTTGTTTCACTTCCATTAGTTCTATTTACGGTGGTGTCTAGGGGATTAGAAAGAGTCAGAATGCGATCTGCAGCATCCCTGTGGTAAGTAAGGGAATAAACGAACGCCGATAATAATGCATGAGCGGGGCTGACATTACACGCTGCGCCACTTTCACTCCTCTCGCTGGCGTCCCAAGGTGTCTATTTGCACGGTGACCCTCCGTTTACACGCCGGCCCAGGAGAGCCTCCGCGCCGCCTCTATTATTCAGTGTATTCGCCGCGGCGAAAAGGCGCCGCTGTGAGCAGACAAGCCGAGGCAAAAGTCACGACGTGAAGGCGGCAACGCCGAGCCACGCTCCCGGAGGGCTCTGAGCCGCACCGGCTCCCCTAGCGGATCTGATAAAGTGAACAAGGATGTAGCATAAAGTGCTAGATTAGCATTGCAGTACACTGGTTGCAGTACACTGGTTACAGTACACTGATTACAGAAGAGTGATTGCTAGAGTATCAGTGTCCCATCTATGTAATTTAACAACGTCCAAACTACGCAGTAGGACTTCTCTTTAAAAAGAAAAACTATCCCACCATAAGAACGGAATTGGCAAAATCTCCCGTTATGCTAATAATGGCTGTGTATTTCATCTGCAGGCCATCCTGTAAATGCAAGGCCCTGGCAACGGGTCGGGGGACGGAGGAGAGTAGCAAGGAAGCAAGAGCAGAACCCCGGAGGTGGATCAAGGGGAGGAGGGGAGCAGCAGGCAGCTGAACGTACCGCTTGATGGCCACCAGCTCGCCGGACTCGTTGCTCTTGCCCATGAGGACGCTGCCGTAAGTGCCATCGCCCAGCTGCTTCAGTGTCGTGTAGCGATTCATCATGCCGCCTCGCCCGTCAGGAGACCCTGTTTTCGGCGGGTCTTCTTGATCATGAAGTGGAGGAGGGGTGTGTTCCCAGCAACAAGGCTTATGCTAAATGCCCTGACCACAAAGCCATGCCTGTCCTCTAGCGAAGGCGTCCAGACGTCACTGCTGTGTCACCGGTGGGATGCTGTTCCATCTTGGCATTTAAGAGAACAGAGCTGTCACTGGAAGAAAGGTTGGATGCAGAGTACCGCCCAAAGTCAGATACCCAGCAGACCATGCAAGCCCCTCCAGAAAGGTCACGATGGAGGCTGCAGTGGGCAGCTCTGTGGGCATTCAGCCTAATGCAGAGTTTGCCAACACCAGCCAATCCGGCCAATCATCTCTGGGGGAGCTCCCTGATATAAGCCACAGTACTTCGAAGTGCTCCACTGTACACTGCAGTTCTCCACTGCACACCACAGTAGACCACCATTTTGTAAAAAAGTCATCTAACAAACAACATCAGTTTTGTTCGCTTAATCCTAGTCAGTGATGGATTGAGGAGTTCAGGGGTTCCTAGGCCACACTTTTCAGAGGCCCCTCTTCTGCCCCCACTGCCCAAAACGATTCAACAATTAAATGTAAAACTAATAAGTATTATTAACTATAAAATCATTTCTACAAAGTCAAAGAGAATGTGACGCTCTATCAAATGAGAGCAACCACATCAGAAGAACAACAAACAGGCAAGCTTGCACTTTCACGAGTCAGACGCAGCAACATGAAAGAGCCCAACAGAGACCTCACTGAGCAAAGGCATCACAACATCGGTAAACTTAAAACATTACAGCGTGACCCAGTGCGTGTCAACTGCATCCACACTGTGCACTCACTGCATCCACACTGTGCACTCACTGCATCCACACTGTGCACTCACTGCATCCACACTGTGCACTCACNACTGCATCCACACTGTGCACTCACTGCATCCACACTGTGCACTCACTGCATCCACACTGTGCACTCACTGCATCCACACTGTGCACTCACCACACATTTACCATAGATAACTATACAGAGGAAGGCAAATTTCAAAATAAAATAAAATAAGTGCTTACCATTAGAAAGTTTTCCTGGCATAGAACGTACTGATCAGGCTCATATAATCCATTTTACACAGGAAACAGACTACGCATAATCATACCAGAAAATTCACAACGGTATAAGAAGATCGCCAAGAAAGAGATGCCTCTAGAATTGGTCTCCCCATTGAGTTTTAACCAATCCCCAACTTGCAAGCATATAAACAACCAATAATGGATCACTTTAAAAAAAATTGCTGGCCAGTAGGCGGGCCCCTGATCACTCTGGGGCCCTATGCTGCAGCATAAGCAAGCCTGTTCATTAAATCCATCCCTGATTAAAGTGCAGAGATGGTCTAGCAAATTAGATTAACATAATCACACATTCTACCTCTCATATATGTGATCTTCACCATGCTTTCGCTGAGTTCACTGCTAGAACTTTCTGGAATCTGTTATCATGCTGCACTATTTACCCTGTGGTGTCAAGTTAATCTGGCAGTTAATGTGCCACAGCCTTCAAACTACTAACCAGTACAACTTTAATAAATTATCGTCATAAATCGGTTTCCCTGCTGAGAATCTGTCCTAGAATTCCAGATGTAATTTAATTTCACATTTGGGCTGTCGTCCACTGTGTTACAGAAACAAAAAGTTGAGTTCTGCAGAACTGGAAGGGCATATCATTACGTGTAACTTGCCTGCACGTCATCAAAGGATTAAATAACTAGACCCTTTAAAAATAGTTCCCAGAAGCACTGGAGTAAATGCGGCCTTGCCTGTAGCAGATTGCAGAGTATGCTAAGCTCTGGTCAGGTGTAATCTGCGGGAAAGGTGTTTAGGAGGAATTACAGGGTTATGCAAAGGACAAATTACGCGTGTTTAAGCTTATTACACGCAGGCGCGCGATGAGGAACACTCGCCATGCAAACATGTAACTGTCTTTTACACACAACCATGACAGTTATCTAACAACTTAATAAACAGAATGGGTGGTTTTAGACTTAGATTTATGCCAGTCTCGTAGAATACTGTGTTAAAATTCTGTCATCCATCCAGCCATTCAACTGTATATCCTGGACAGGGTTAGCGGTCTGTAGCCTATCCCAGGCTGGGTATGGCACAAGGCGGGACACCCCCCTCGAACACGATGCAAGTCTATCGCAGGGCACAAGCTAGGACACAACTGCACACTAACCGGGAGGTGTGAGTCCACAGTGCCAGCCACTTACGTTTACCTTTTTTATTTAGCAGCGAAATCAGCTAGCCTGTCTATATAACAATGTGAAAGATAATTACAATTAAGTACAATTAACTGACAAGACTACTGAAATTGCATGAGAAATTGCAATAGTTGCAAACTGCTATTTCTATCAAAAAGACCAACCTGTGCATTGAGGCAAACTGCCGCTGCCACGTCATATTCTCCATGAATTTATATTTTTCAGGAAATGGTCAGTAGTTAAGACCTTGGAAATCAGAAAGCACTAAATTTAAGGAAAATGAAACCCAAATATTCCTTAACAATAAAGTAATACATTTTACAACACTGTGACAAGACTAAAAAATGTTTCAATCATGGGGTATATCGTTCTTCACTGAAATTGGGTACTAAATATGATTATTCTTTTATTAAAAACTCCAGTTCTTAAACTATTTAGCTTTAAAAAAAGCCTCTAATAACAGAAGTGTGTCTTGACAATCGCCATCTATAGATAATTACGAGCTACAAAGGCGGCAGGGCGATTTACCGCATGTAACGGGGACGTTAGGCGAGCAGCGCAGCGCGATTAAGATGCACAGCTAGACACCCGCCAGCTCCAGCCAGCTAACGAACCGATGGACGCTTTTCTCTCTCCGCTTTCCACACTCTTACCGCGCAGACCTCCCGCTGCCCACCTACGCGGCTGTCGGGTGCGAAAAGGCAGCGCTTTCGCCGTGCCGGAGCCGCCGCCGCCGTCGCCCTGTACTGCGCTTGGTGTGTGTGACTCCTTCACCTTAGCAACGGAGGCTCCGCCCCGCGTGCCAACGCGTTGCCCGACTGGCCTGCCGCTGTGCATTCTGGGATTTGATGTGCACCGCGGAAAGCGGGCTTACTGCCCCCTAGTGGCAGACCTTGGGTGCGATCGCCGTGGGCCCAGACATTATATGTTTTTTCTGTCAGATAGTTTTCTTATGGAAGTAATGTCCACCGTACCTCCTCGCAATAAAAAAAATCTTCATAAGATTTGTTTGTAATAATGTTTTTGTTGTTTTGACAGGTATACATAGGAATTATGCCACATATGTAAAATATGGATGTTTAAAATACAAACTAATTTGATCTAATATTATTGACAGAAATATATATAAATATTATTTCTTTTATATCTTTAATAATTTTCAGAATAGAGTAGACTTTTAGAGTGGAATTAACATGGATTAAAATAGATAATTAAAAAAAAGACTATCTCTTCCGGTAGATGGAGCAACGTGAACAGCAATTGGCGATGGGGGTGGGGGCCGGTTGATTAGAGCAAGTGTTCATATACTTGTTAGTAATTCTTGAAAAAATCTGCCGCAGCTACACGGAACACCTACTAATGTTCAGTGTCACTTCGATTTTTAGTTCCCCAGTTCGGGTAAAATATATATTTCAAGGAGGACTAGAAGCCTGAGGCGATCCTTATTTTATGCGCGCATTAAGTGTTACCCGCGAGTAACTTAATTTTAAAAGGAATACGAGGCCTAGTTTTAGGTAAGGCAAGTTTATTTATATAGGACAATTAAGAGGCAAGGAGATTGTAAGTACTTTACAGAGGCATAGGGAGACATTAATATGAAAGGCATTAAAATCACATTTAAAAGACAAAAAAAAAAAAACTAAAAGCCAAACAAATATTTAACCAAAAAAGAAGTTACACTGTTGTGACAGTGTATGACTGACCTCTTTTAATTTATTGAATGTATTGTTTTAAAGCCTGATTTAAATGAGCTAACAGTTTTAGGGGACCTCAGGTCTTCGGAAAGCTTGTTCACCAGACAGGCAGCACTGTGATTGGTCTTGATTCTGGAACAGCAGTTAAACGTGTCCCAGCCGACCTCAGGGATCTGGAGGCTTCATAAATGTGTTCTTCTAAATCCATCCATCCATCCACCGCTCAGCCTGCGCTGGGTCACAGCTTGTTCATAATATAAAATTCTCTACACAAAATTACTGGAAAAATGTAGAAGAAAATGTTCCACACGAGCAGAGTAAGAATGAAGATTGTGGAATGAAGGAATGTTTATGAGGGTAAAATAATAATCGATTAAAAGGAGAAGCTACCATCCAGGTGTGATATTTTATGGCTTCTGACTGAAACTAGAACAAGCAGAAGTGATACTGAGATACTACTGTATGTGTTTGTGTGTGGGTGGGTGTGTCTACGGATTTGTGTTTATTACATTGTAGGGACCAAATGTCCCCACCATGAGGCAAAACCTGTTACTTTTTACCTTGTGGGGACATATTTTAGATCCCCACAATATAAACCCAATTTCATAAAAATCCATGAATGCAATCAAAAGACTAAAATAGCCAAAAGTCTTGTTTTTTGTTTGGTTACTTGTGGTTAAGGTTAGGGCTGGGTATGGGGTAAGGTTTTCATTGCTGGGATTAGGGTTTTGCCCATATAATTGAATAGACGGTGGCCACAATGATAATAATACATGAACTGGTATGTGTGCGTGTGTCTGTGTGTGCACATGTGCTGTGTGAATGTGTATCTGTCTGCACCTGTATTTGTCTCTGCCTGTGTGTGTCTGCCTGTGCCACGTGAATGTCTGTGCCTGTGTGTGCACCTATGTATCTGTGCTATGTGCCTGTGTGCACATCTATGTGTGTCTCTGCCTGTGTGTGCAGTGTGTGTCTGTGCCTGTGTGTCTGTGCCTTTGCTGTGTGAATGTGTGTACCTGTGTGTGCACGCCTGTGTGTGTCTGTGCCTGTGCTGTGTGCCTTTGTGTGTCTGTGTGCATGTCTGTGCCTGTGCTGTGTGCCTTTTTGTGTCTGTGTGCATGTCTGTGTCTATGCTGTGTGCCTTTGTGTGTCCGTGTGCATGTCTGTGTCTGTGCTGTGTGCCTTTGTGTGTCCGTGTGCATGTCTGTGTCTGTGCTGTGTGCCTTTGTGTGTCTGTGTGCATGTCTGTGCCTGTGCTGTGTGCCATTGTGTGTCTGTGTGCATGTCTGTGCCTGTGCTGTGTACCTGTGCTCAGGGGCGGAGCCCGAGATTTTCTTTAGCTGGTGCTATGGGGTTGCTTGACTTTTCTGCGAGGATGCTCTGAAATTTAGAGTTTCTCTTTAATGTGCCAGTGACTACAGGTTAATTTCTACTCCAACACCCCAACACACCTACAAACATTTTATTAGTGTATTTAGTTTTAAATATTAATTAAAATATTAGTAATTTAAGTATAAATTATTGTATTCAAACATTAAAAATAACCAATTCTAAATGAACCACAGAAATGTATTGGGGGTGCTAAGGACTGCTTGTGCTGGGTGTGTTTGTGCCTGTGTTTCCCACTTGTCTCAGCAGTCCGCAGGGTCAGGTTGTCCAGCACAGGGTTGGTGCAGCGGAACCTTAGAAGGCTGCCCCTCATCTTTTGGGCTTACCTGGACTGCCTGTGCACTGCAGAGACATACAGTCCATTGGGACGTTGGTATCCTCTGGAGAGAGAAGAAACTGATCTTCCTTCCAATAATCTCCCATTATTACAGCAGCAGAAAGTGATAGCAGCACCAGCTCTGGGGGATCATGGGCCCCAAAGCATCATATTAGCTGCTGCTTCTGTGGAGCACATCCTACTCCCTATGTCACACCTTCTCTTCTGCCCCAAGTGCTCTGTGACAGTGCTCCGCTGTTTAAAGCGCTGTATGAATGCCACTGTATACTCCAACCCTAATATATCACTGTGTCTTCAGAGAGAAATAAAGAAAGAGTGTTTAGAAGTGACAGTTTATCTGTGTAAGCACTCACTTCTGTGTCTGTCTGTATGTGTGAGGGACAGTGGTCTTTGTTTCTGTAGTGTTAAGTTTCAAAATCTCTGGCCAAGCGCAAAGCAGCCTTGATTAAGATCGATTGAGCGTGCGAGACAGCGGCTGATTCGCTGGCTGCCAGGCGCCCGTCGTCTCGGAGCCCCCTCTCTGGTTCACTCCAGCCAGCTCTCAGTCAGCCTGTTAGAGCAGGGAGCCCCAAAGCTGCCAGTTCTGCCTGAATTTCGGGATGGACAATCCCTTCTAGTGCCCTGATGAACGGCTAGTAAAATGCTTGATGTACAATGAAATATATTTCATTTTTGTAGTTTTATTTTTGCATGTGACTTTATATGTGAAATGTCTCCTTGCCATGGATGTTCTTATGACCAAGTGCACAGCAGGATAGAGTCCCGCCCTCAGGCCCTGTCGCTCTCTCCCAGGCAGGCACATAGCGTCCCGTCCTCAGGCCCTGTCGCTCTCTCCCAGGCAGGCACATAGCGTCCCGT